GTGGTGGTGGAGAGTGAACTGGGGTTGGCGGTGGTGGAGAGTAGACTGGTGGTGGTGGAGGAGAGTGGACTGGTGGGGGTGGCGAGTGGACTGGTGGTGGAGAGGAATGGACAGGTGGAGGAGGAGAGTGAACAGGTGGTAGTGGGGAATGTACAGGTGGTGGTGGGGAATGTACAGGTGGTGGTGGAGAATGTACAGGTGGCAGAGGAGATTGAAGTGGAGTCGGTGTTGGTGCAACCGGATCTCCTCCCACTGGAGATTGACGATGAGGATCATCTTCCGGAGCTGGCGCAGGTGCTGATGGCTTTAGTGGAGAGTTGGTAGGTGGTGATGGAGGAGAATAGAATGGTGGGGGTGGTGTGTGTACTGGTGGTGGAGGGGAATGGACAGGTGGAGGCGGAGAGTGAACAGGTGATGGTGGAGAATGAACAGGCGGTGGAGAAAGGACTGGAGTTGGTGATGGTGCAATGGGATCCCCTCCCACCGGAGATTGACGATGAGGGTCATCTTCCGGAGCAGGAGCTGGTGCGGATGGCTTTGGTGGAGAGTAGACTGGTGGGGATGGTGAGTGAACTGGTGGTGGTGGCGGCGAGCGGACTGGTGGTGGAGGGGAATGGACAGGCGGGGGAGGAGAGTGAACTGGTGGTGGTGGAGAATGCACAAGTGGCGGAGGGGATTGAACTGGAGTCGGTATTGGTGCAACAGGATCCCCTCCCACTGGAGATTGACGATGAGGGTCATCTTCAGGAGCTGGTGCTGGTGCGGATGGCTTTAGTGGAGAGTAGACAGGTGGTGATGGAGAATGTACAGGTAACGGAGGGGATTGAACTGGTGGTGGAGAAAGGACTGGTGTCGGTGTTGGTGACGCCGGTTCTCCTCCCACCGGAGATTGACGATGAGGGTCATTTTCTGGAACTGTTGTCGGTGCTGATGGCTTTTCAGGTTTGGGTTGCTGTGGCTTAGGAGATGGCGCCTTGGGTTTGGGAGGAGATGGGTATCCTCCCCCGGCACACTTGTCCTTATTACAATCCACGGGACGCCTCAATACCGGTTGACACTCCTTGGCCGTCTTCTGCTTCGGCCTATCTGCCAAACAATTGTCCTTATCATCAATTACAATCCCCTCCCTTGACGGAGAAACGCATTCTTTCGCCTCTCCCTGGAAGTAATTGTTAGAGAAGGTGAAATTCGTCAAGCTTGGTAATTTGCAGAGATTTTCCGACATCCTTCCGGTGAGCTTGTTATTCCCAAGAAACAATAACTCCACTTTTTTAAGCCCTGAAAAGCTCTGCGGCAAACTACCCCAGAAGGAATTAAAGCCAGCGTCAAACACTGTTACATTGCCCAGCAACCCAATTTCTGCTGGGAAGCAACCGCCTAAATCGTTGTTCTGGAGCACAATCTCGTTCAAATTCTGCATCTTTCCGACGCTATGTGGAATGCAGCCGCTGAACTTGTTATGGGCGAATGTCACAACTGAGACGGTGGATTTTCCGATGGTGTCAGGAATTATGGAGGAGAACCTGTTATTGTTCAGGAACAATGCGTCAAGATCCTTCTCAAAGATTTCCGGTGGCAATGCGCCCTCGAAATCGTTGAAACGGAGATCGATGTATTTCACTGCCGGCCAGGACAGGACAACCGTCGGAAAAGAACCCACAAACCGGTTGTTGCTGACATCAAACTCGTGCATCAGGAGAAGCTTGGACAAGGTCTTGGGGATAATTCCACAGAACCTGTTGGAGTTTATGTGGAACAAAGCAAGATCTGTCATGAGTCCCAACTCAACCGGAAGGTATCCGGCAATGTCAGCGTGGTTAAGGTCAACACCGGCGACAACATTCAGGGTGGAATCATCCAATGCCGGTGCACAAACCACGCCGTTGTAGGCACACACATTAGAGCCAACCCAATTGGCTGTGGTGTTGTATGGATCGGAGTAGAAGGCCTTCTTCCAGGCCTGGAGAGCAATGTAAGCCCTCTTGAGTCTTTCATTGGCAAAAGTTTCATGAATCTCGATTTCATACTCGAAACCCTCCGGTAGATCATCCTTCTCCGGGTGAGTTAGGAGCTGGCGCCGAGTGATGAGGGAGACTTCAGCATCGGAGAGGGCAGAAGTTAAGGTTGGGAGGGAAGTGAAGAGAAATGAGAGGAAAAGAAAGCAGCCAAAGGCCTGAATTATGTGAGGGTGAGCCATGGCTGACTACCTTGGAGACCCAAGGCTGCTTATAGGGGGGGTGGGGGAAGGGAGGCTGTTATATGGCATGTCGTGCTGACGGCCATTGAGTGGTGGTGGCGGATTTAGCACCGGAAAGGTTGGTGTTTAGACACCACAGGATTTGGAGGTGCTAATTTTAGAGGGAAAATTCAAGGAAAGGTCATGCTGGTGTTGCGGTGTGCCGGCCTTAAAACTAATTAAACTGTTTTGACTGAGTCATGAAATCTAAGATTTATGTATGAGGAAATTCATTTCTATCTAGGACTATGGTTTTTATTTGCTTCTTTGGTGTGTAGGGGATGGGACATGATATCCCGTGGGAAGGTCGATTTCCATGGCATTTTGTCCCAATGGAGCGCATTTTTGTCTGAAAATCCGCAGTTAGTTTCATCACAAAATGGGCCCTGCCATGCCACAATGTCGTCCTATTTACATGACATTATGTGGACATGGCTAACATTATAAATCAGGATATCACGTTAATTGTGTTCTCATCTATAACTTGATAAGCAGCTAAAAGAAATATGGATTTAGATCTGATCATGTTTAAGTTAAGAACTGACACTGTTAGTGTTGGTCCATTCTTTAAGCATGCGATCTTGGAATATATCAATTCTTAGGTAATCTAAACTGTCTAAGCCTCAAGTTGATGTAAACGAATTTATTTTTAGCACGAAACATGTTCTGCAAGTGTACTAATTCAAGAACATAGATGTTCCTTTTACGTCAAGAATTTGGATTAACTGGTTTTGCTGAATAAGCACTTGGATCGCAATCAAGTTTATGCTTTCAGAAATCGGATAATGCTCTCATCCCTGGCTCTTTAATAGTGTTAAATGAAACCATACCATGTCAATTGATTAAAGAGAAACTTATGAACTCAAATATAACATGGTCTACTCCACTTGTAACGTTAGCACATAACGCATGTTCAGAGTCTGTCCATCGGGCATACCCTGCAAGTCCATTGATCCTTTACCGGGGAACCTAAGGACAGGAACGGTGTTTCATCACTCATCACGTCCTACAGTAATCATCAACAAAAATGGAATGTTGGAATGATAACCTAATATTTCAGTGATATATTTGCAGTGAAGTTAGACTCAATCCCAAAGAGTCTGCAGATACCAACCAATGGCATATAGATGGAAAATGAAGATTCGATTCAACTCAAAGCAAACTTCCAAACAAGCAATGTGGAGAATTATGAATACCCAATTCAAGTCAATTCATATACCCAGCATGCCATTTAAACAAACTATTGTTATTCTAATACAGGCAAGGTTGGAAATTTAGAGTTCTCAGAAAGATTAACTCTCCATTTCAATGTAAACCTAGCACCAAACTATCATATAATACATCTAAGCCTTTAAAAACTAAAACCAAAACGATCAACCAAAAATTCATGGCCAAGAAAGCAACATTGCGTTATCTACATGGAAGAAACTCAACATGGGTTTATTAACCACAAGGTTAATCTCCAAGATAGCATCCTTCATAATTCACATCCGGGGTCTTTCTTCCCATGGTTCTAAGCAATCTGGTATATGGTGAATCGGGCATTTTTGCTTTTTCTTCTTCCTCCAACTCTTCTACTGATTTTGGCATCCATTCCGGGATGTGAGACAATCTCTTCCCTTCCCCTTTAGTGTTCATTGGCTTTCCCTTGTCCAAAGCATTTTCCTTTCCGTTTTTGTAGATTGCAGCAATTCTTGGTATCCAGTTTATCAAGGTTTTAACACCTCCTGCTTCGAGAATTATCCTCTCTAGATCTTCCTTTGGTGCCACTTTCTGATGCACAATTTCATTTCAGGTTAGAAGAGGCAAAGATTGTTCTAATTGCTTATAAAATAACGTTCTGCAACAACAGAGTAAAATCCATAAAATTACCAGTTAAATTTCTGTTATTTTCCTTTCTTTCTTTTTTCATGCACTTTCTCATTAACCAAACAGTTCCAAGATTCATTTAATTCTATAACAAATTGAAACTGCAAACACACCTCAAGATCCTCTAGTTCGAAACGAGCTTTCCAGCAATAATATGACTCCTCTCCCTCCAGTGTTGTACAATAATCTGAAGAAAAACAAAGTGTTATTCTAAAAATCAAAATTAAACCAAAAAAAAAAAAAAAGAAGAAGAAGAAGAAATTATTCTCAAAATACAATTCTTCCCTAACTTCGAAGATAAATCGCCGGGAAAAATGACGAAGGACCCAGAAACAGAAGAATAATAGCGCAGATCAGAAAGATATCTACAGTTTATACCTGCAAGCTCGCGTTCCGCTTTCTCGATCAACGGAGGGTCTTTAATGGCTCGATCAAGAAAGGTTCTGTTAAAAGGCTTGAGTTTGGGAATGTTAGCATAGTTTCTCAAAGAACAGCGAATCGTGGAGGCTCTGCACGACGGCGGCAAGAGTTCCGACCGGTGAATATCTTTAGCCTCGACGAGTACCGGAGAAAAACAAGATCGGAAAACGATCGACTTCATCATCGCATCCAAACAGAGACGATCAACTCTTGACTGCCGAAAAATAGAATGATTATGATATGCGGCGATGTGATTTAAATAGCGCAGTGGAATTGGATAAGGATTTAAGATATATTTTATTATTTTTCTGTTTGGGAGATTTTATTAGGGCAAATAACGACCGTTGGATGTTGGTGATGTTGACACGTGGATGCAATGAATTTGCTTCCAGTGGGTCACAGGATTCCATTCGGAGGCGTTGCCGCCCCTTGTTTCTTTCACCTTCTGCGCTTTTCTAGAATGTTTGTTTGGAACTCTGGATTAGCCGGTTCGGAAATATTTTTCAAAGGTTTCGAAAATGATTTATTCAACCTGTATCTTTAAATTTATTAATTATGGTTAATAATCGAAATAATTTAATGATTATTTTTTTCTGTTCGAAATAAAAAGTATTAAATTTAAATCGTATAATATATGAGTAGGGTGAGATAATAGATAAGAGATAATTATCTCAATGTCTGTTATTATGTAATTAAGATAAAAAAAATATTAATTATGATATTTTTAATTAATTTTATATTAAATATATATTTTTAATAAATTTAAAGTATAAATATTATATTATATTTTTATATTTTGTTTAAATTTTATAAAAAAATTTATATAAAGTTAATTATAAATATTATAACCAATAAAATTTAACTTATATTTTAAAAAATATAAATTAAAAAAATTCCTATCAATAACTTATTAATTTAAATAGAAAAGGTTTTCTTTTAAATTTATGTTTTCTAAATAAAAAATAAATATTTCTTGATTTTATGGGTATTTTATTTTAAATTAATTAAAATTTAATATAATTTTTAAATATTAAAAGGTTGCCTCACTGTAGTTGCAAAAATGTTTGCCTTTTACTTTTGTTGACAACGGTTTAATTTTCAAAATGTTAATATGTAAGTAATTTTTTAATTTTAATACGAATGGCTTGCGTTTCAACGGAATTGAGGAAAGTTGGAGGTGGGTCCGTGGGTGTAAACTAACATGAAATATCTACTAAACAGAAGACAAAAACTTTACAAAGGGTGAATGAAATGTATCTATGGTACTCAATCTCTTAAGCATAATTCAATTACGTTGTTATATTTTTTATGCTCATAATTGAGTCCCCACCGCATTTATTTTCACCAATTTGTTTAAATTGCCTACGATGAAGGATTAAAAATCGACATTAATGATGCAAAATTGCAAATACACACATATTGCATTTACACTCTATTTTCCATGTTGGGAGGTTGGTTGGCAGGAGCTCGAAAAAAGAAGAAGTCAATGTATAATCAATAATACAAGAATTGATCATGACTTCAAAAGATTAATTTGTTAAATTTGTAAGTTTTTATATATATGTTTCTTTTATTATTAAATTTATAAGAGCAT